CCTGAGGGCACTACTAGGCTTTACTCTCCCTGACCGGGCTCCCCTGGGGCTGTCAGCTCCTGCCCCAGTGATGCTGCAGCGAGGCTCCGCACAGCCCTGCCCATCCCAGCCATGGGCCCTGACAAGCCAGGCCCACCTGCAGTCCCAAGTCCCAGCCTGGCTTCAGCTGGAGATTCCCAGTTCCCAGGGCTGAGGCTATGCCCTGGCTTGTGCTGCTCCCTGGCTTGCCTTGCCACCCTGGGAGAGCCCTCTGCTACTGGCCCCCAGCCCACAGGGAGCAGCCAGCCCTCGGGGCACCTTGATGTTTTTTTCTTTTTTTTCTCCCCTTATTAACTTTTCTCTAAGCAATTATTATTCAAACTTAGCAAAGCTGCATTTTTCACAGGAGACTTCTTACTTGCCAAGACTTTGGCAATGAAACCATTATGGAATAAATGACCGTGGTGATAACTTTCTTTTGTGAAGTGTTTGGTTTTCACCCTTCTTTCATACATGTTTCATCAACTGGGCTACAGTTCAGGGGTGTGTCAAAATAAACATTAACCTTATTTCAGAAACTATAAGCCCCAGAAAGTAGATATTTATCAAATAAGAGGATGTAGTGTTATTTCAGAAACACTAAGAAAGGTTAAAGAGAGACAGTCTGATTTTGACTAGTTTTAAGACATGGAAACACTGCATAAAGTAACAGTAATACCACATTACTCATTTTATCATTGACAGGAATATCTGTTTTCAGTGGGTGACAATTGTACAGGGCCTTGTAGTCAACTTCCAATGTCAAGGATTTCCCACCATGTTCTCAGTGTTGGCTTGGAGATTTGTATCAGATCTGAATGGACCTAGTAACTCTGTGATGCAGCTCAAGAAGTCACAGTAACAACTTTTCAGTGTCCAAAAAGGTGCTTCAGTTGCAGCTCAATGGACCAAAGCTATGTGACCTGTTGCAAGCACAAGCCTTGTACAAAACCTCTCAAGCATAGCATGGATATCAGTAACCATCTGCTTTGAGCAGTGACTGTTGGAGTTGTGTAATATGATGTTTTGTGGCTTCTTGTCAGTCTGGAAAGGCAGCATGAAGGATCACAGAATAGTTCGGGTTGACTATCTCTAGGCCCTCAAAAGTGCCCAAGGAGTAAAGGAGACGCTAGGGGTAAGAACTTGGCTGGGATTTAGGTTGTTTGGACCTGTGACTGCAGACCTTCACTGCTCACTTTGGACTGTATAGAAAATTGATATTTGCTTTGATAGCTTGCTAGTGTTTGAGTTGTATTTGAGTTGCAACAAGGCACTAGGAAATTATTCTTGCTGAATCACTAGTCCACATTTGGTTATATGAACTTTGTGGATCACTGCATGCCTACAATGCATCCATCTGGGAAGCACAGTCTGCTTCCCATGCATAGTTTCCTATCCATCTCATCAGGCTGACTGAAAAGTCTTTCAAGGGCCCCTTTTAAAGTGTTCCTACATACCACTAACATCTTCTGTCTTTCTGAGTCAAGTCCCATTTATAACTCCTCTTCCAGTGTATGTTTCATATATAAAAATAAATATTATGTGGTATATATTATGCTATCTAGGACCCTTTCCTATCATTCTTTTGTCTCTGATGCATACTCTAATTGTCTTTAAAGATGAAGTCTGGAGCTCTAGTGACTCAGAGGCATAGCTTTTTTACTTGTTGGTTATATTGGATACAGTTGGCCTGATAACAGCAGATGCTGCAACTACATCAGCAATACATCTATCTAGGAACTGATGAAAGCAATGCAGTGTTCATAAAAGTGAAATCACTGGCCTTCTAAACTCTCATACCACAGCAGCCTGTTTACCAATGAGCACTGAGAGCATGTGGTGCCAGGGTCACGTGCATCATCGTTATCCCCGGAAGTTATGCATTTCTGTTGTCTTAACAGGCAATAAAACTAGACAGAGCAGTTGGGCATTAACTGACTGTCCTTTCTGGAGTTTTTAGAAGTCAAGAAAGATGGTTGTATGCTTTCTCTTGCTTTTTCTGAAACATTAAAATAGATGCTTAATGTATATAAAGGAACTGCATTCTTGTATGTGTGTTCGGCTGAAGCGAGGAAGGAATGGAACCAAATGAATTGGTAACAGTGATGAAGTTTGTAGATTTTTAGTTCTGGGGTCCAGGAGGGACTGGGATTTAGTTGTCCTGGTTCACGACAGATAAAGCACATTCCAGAGTCTGAAGAGAGCAGAAAGAGGCTTTTGGAACAGAAACTAGCTGACAGCATCTAGAAACATCTTGTTATCATATTATGTAATAATAGATTTCTTATTTATTATAAATATGCAGTTCTATGTTTGCCTGTGTTACACATACATGCAGTTACTGAAGCAAAGAGGACTGTGCACAGATTTCTGAATGTGGTACCTGGGCCCCTATTAAAATGTTTCTCTAACACTATACAGGTTTGGGAGGATTCTTCTGGCTGATGCTCCCTTTGGGGTGTACATAAGTGGGGTGATACTGAGAAAATGATTGTTCCCGCACTCTGCGGATACATAAGCCTTACAACAAAGAGTCCCTGCAGATTTTACTCTCTATAGAAGGAATAAAGAAAGCTACTTCTGTAGGAAGGATATTGGAATATTTATCAGGTTGGGGGGTGTGTGTGTGTCAGGGAAAGGCTTTCTATCCTAATTGCCTTCCAGTAATCTGACTTTCAAATGCTCTTGCTTTGGATTTTTATCTATGTGTTTTCTTCTCCCTTATGCTGACTGAAAGGTCCCTTGTTTCCAGGGTGAGCTAATACTGCTCCTAAATCAGTCAATTGATATAGAGGAATAAGACTGTAGAGGAAACGGAGTGGTAGCAAGTTTCATTCTTTTGAGAGTAAGGAAGGGGGGATTACAGGGGGAGGAATTAGGTGTCTGCAAGAAAAACTTGGGAAAATAAGATGCCTTGCTGAAAACTAATACTCTGTTGATGGGATTACTCCCAGAAAGGCAAATGAGAATGCAGAAGACGAACACTGAGCTCACTATCTGGAATGGAAGAATGGGAGAAGGGTTTGGCAAGGGGTCAGGGAGATGTTGACTTGGCAGAGGGAGAAGGTATGTAGAGGTGGCTGTAACATGGGTAGTGCCATTGAGTGAGCAGGGTGAAGGCAAACAGAGTTAGTCTGAATCAGAAAACTTGTCCTGAAGGATTTTGCTTGCAGAAAGAACTGCACAAAACGTCTGTGAAGAAAATCAAATAGCATGGGCTAGGAAGAAAGTGTTTCACATTAGAGCAACGTAAGTAATAGGCAGGAAGAATTTGGGGAGACTCTGCAGCTAGATAGTTGTGGGTAATTTGGTAGTAAGTGCATAAATGTGATCGGCTAATATATCTGACTTGCTCTACCAGCAGCAGGGAGTTATTCTTTAAAAGAGGGTGAAAGAGAGAAACAAGACTAACTCAGGCACATATGATCAGGCAGGGAGTATGTGTAGAAAATTACAAAACCTGTTTAAATGACAAGGGAGGATTAACCTATGCATCTTGCCTGAGTTGGATTCACTGGATAATTTATTAGGCTAGCCCCTATTTCTAGCAGAGATCTGGATGCCTTATGTAAAAGCAGTTAACTGAAGTGACAGTTATGCTCTTAAAGTGAGAAGCTTGTGCCTTCTCTGTAGGCCTTGGAAAGTGACCTGGGGTGGGTAGAAAGTGCTTGCTGAGTAGGGTTAATATCCCTGCTATGGTGAAATTCTCCATTTCTAGGATCTTCCTCCACTCCAGCGCAAAAGCCTTGCGATGGCACTTACTAGCTGGGTGATCATTAGGGAGTCACTTACAGGGGGATGCAGGAGGGACAACAGGAAGGAATGGAAACAGACCAGAAGCAGGGAAACGTAGAAGATGGGAACGTGGGGTCCTGTGTTCAAGTCAAAAGGGCCTGTGTGAAACTAGAGGATGACTTGGGATCCAGACCCAGGGGTTATATAGATTTGATGTGTGGGAGGGAATTAGACTACATCTCAATAATTTTTTACCTTTTGTTTCTCTGCCTGCCCACTCTTCACTACCCCAAATGGTACGCATTCCTCTCTCTGTTGTATAATATATAGGTAAACTGCCCTATAGGTGCAGCTACACAGCAAACTGTTTTTACAGCATCACTCCCCATGTAATGTTGCATTTACCTTCTTTTCCCAAGTGGAATTAATCCTGTGGCATCTTGCAATTATTCTTTTTTCTCAGGATATTGCTATTCTTCCTGCTAAACCCCCATGTCCTGCTGTATGTGGATCCCATCAGCTGCAGTAGGCCCTTTTTCCCTGAAAATGTGCTATTTCATGTGCTTCTAAGACAATCTATTTTGGTTGGTTCCATTGCACTTGTAACTTCTGGTCTATATTACCACGCTTATTTCTCTTCATGTCCGTATCCACTCAGACTTTCTAAACACAAAATTAATTAAGGCTGTAGCTACTGACAGCCCAGACCTTGACCTCATCATTGGACACAGTTGGGTGGGGGGGAAAAAAGGTCCATGTATGGAATTTTGTTGCAGCAAAAAAGTGTGTTCCGGGGGTTTCCTTACCGCATCCTTTATTTCTCTTAAGTACCTGGCTTGGAGCCTAGGATTTGGGATTAAGTGGCTCTGCTGATCTGGTGTGGAGTGACAGCGCTCATAGTCCCTCAAGTGATGATTTGCCTTTGCTGCCTTGCTGAAAGGAAAATGTTACCCTCTTTCAGATGGTTATTCAAAAGTCTATGAGAGTCTATGAATAGACAAATAGTAACAGTTTAAGGGAGACTATAAAGCTGGATGTGCTATATGGCTTCAGGAAGCTAATGCTCCTAGATATTAGAGGCTTCATGTTTCTGATGTATTATTCTCTGCCACTTTTCGTACTAGGAATACAGCCCAGCAAGACAGTCTCTTTTGCAAGAGAACACATAGGAGCTCTGCTTCGTTTTCTTTTTTTTCCCTATGCTGCCATGTCTGTTTGATATGTCTGTGGGTTTTTTTTATTTACAGGCCCGCCGGATGAAACGGCAGATTGATGTCTGGGGGAGCTGGGGTGAATGGGGCAAGTGCAGTCGGAGCTGTGGCGGTGGAGTCAGCTTTCGGCAACGGCGCTGCTATTCCCAAAGGTGAGGGCTAACCTCCTTTTTCTTTCTTTATATGTGTTTGTCTGTTACTGAGCTCCTGCACTTATGTTCCAATATACATCCAGAACAAAAACACCTAGTGTTTGATTCCAGGGCAATAAGTCACCTGAGTCCACTTTGAGATGATCCTCAGCTTCAGTCTCGGCACTGCTGTTTTGAACAGTGCTCTCTTCAACACATCCTTGCTTAGGCTCCTTCACTAGAGCACAGTGGTTTCTCTGCAAGATCTGAGGCTGTGCAATCAGGTGATTGGTATGGCAGCAGCTGTTCAATCAGGTCTAGCACGGCAAGCCTCAGGGAGAGGGAGAACAGTCCAGAGCAGTAGGTTTCTCTCCCAAGAGCCAGTGACTATGCCAAGGTTTTCTCAGGCTTATGATTCCCAGGAAGGTAAACTGCCCCAGAAGAAATGGAAGAGTGGAGTTGGCTTAAGCCCCAGAAGAAATGGAAGAGTGGAGTTGGCTTAAGCCCCAGAAGAAATGGAAGAGTGGAACTGGCTCAAGCAGCATTAATGCTGTGCCATCTCTTTTGCAGCTGGGTTAGATGCAGTGAGGACGACGACTGGGACTGCATCTCTTGGGAATGATAGATCTTAGAGATCCTGTTGTGTGCATAAAAGCAAAGAAAAGGGGAAAAACCAGACTCTCAATAATATCCTGAAAAAACCCAGCCTCTTTATGTTTAGAGAAATAAGAGCGGTTTTTTTAATAGAAGAATCCAGAGTTATGGAGCACTGCTTCTTCCCACACAGAATAAAGAAAGGTCTCTTTTGAAGGCTGCCTGTTATGGTATACACCTGCCAGAGTCCCCAGGTCTGTCTCTCCGTTTTAGGAATGCTGAGATATTAGATTTTGGTTGGCTTTTCAGATCAATTTCCATCATAACTGTTACTCTCCATAATTCTCAACTGGAGTCACTTGACAGGAATGAGGGTGTTGCACACTTTCCATAGGCATGTTTGGCTCTTCCCACTAATGGGCCTAGTGTGCACGTAAACAGCATGAAAGATGATGTGTGTACCTATTCTGAATTGGCCACTATTCTCCTGCTGATAACATGTTCTGGATCTGGTATAGACACCTCAACTGTTTGCTGGTGGACAAAGGACTAAAAGCTCTGCTTCTATTATTTAGTTGAAACATGACCCTGAAGAGCTATAATGCAGTCATTCATGGTGTGTGTCTTACTCATACCAAAATGCAAACCACAGCAGAAAATAGCACTAGAAGATGCCAGCTTGCTTTAGTGGAAAAGTGCATTTTAGTTATTTTGCTGTTTCGGGAAACTCTGTGAGGGTGATATGCTTGATGTGAAGATGATTTGTAATGTCTGCCATGAGATGATTTTTTGTGTGTGTACTCTTCAGAGATCTTCATGTTGTTTTTCTGCCTTTCAGAACAGAAGGTGCTTCCAGTTGTGTTGGACCAACACGAAGCTATCGGTCATGTAACATTCAGGTACAGTGCTTGGTTTGTGCTCTGTTTTTTGTTTTTGCTTGCCTGTTGCTCCTTTTCCCCAGACAAACATCATTCTTGTTCAGAAGTAATATGTCATTATTAGTTTCTCTTTGTCTGGCATCACTGGTGAATGTGGTTTATCAAGAGTACTGCTTCAAAAGCATATTGAATTTATGCCCCTGATTTTATATGGGAGCAATAACAAATAAAAAACAATTTTTTGTTGTACACTTAATTTTCCTCCCTTTTATAATGGACCAATACAAACATTTTCTCCTCCAAACAGAGCTGCCCGGAAGGCTCCCGGGATTTCCGGGCAGAGCAATGTGCAGAGTTCGATGGGACAGAATTCCAAGGAAAGAAATACAAGTGGCTTCCGTATTATGGAGGTAATGATAAACATGTAGGATTACACTTCATCCCTAACTATCAACAGTATGTTTTGAAGTGACTGTAATGTTTTTGACTGTAGTATCCTTGTAGGGTACTTCCTTAGTTGGAGGGTGTGGGCAGGGGATGGCATGGAAAAAATCTTTTTGCCAGTAGCAAAGGATTGCTTTCATGAAGACACTGGATGTATGGGCCAAGAGACAGCTCCCATTGCAGCACTACATAGTTGTCTCTTGTAACAGCCATTCCTTCAGAAACATTGCTCAAGAAAGCTAGAACTGGTTGCAGCTAGGTCCTAAAGTATTGGAGAAGCAGCAGCTCTGCTGTACTTTTCAATATTGGCAAAAGAACATTTAGCAGGACACAGGACAAAAAAATGCATAGAATTAAGAGTGTTTCAGAAAATACGACATTTCTTTCAATTGGCCCATGCTTTCTTGAGGAACGAGATCAGAAGGCAGGTGTGGGAACCAGAGGTCCTTGCTCTGAGCTTTGGTATGTTATCATTCACAGTTGTTTAACAAATTACGAGGGATTTCAAGATAGATTTAAAGTTTTGTTTGTTGGCTGTTAAGATAACAGCTCCCTTGTGTTCTATACCAGCACTTGTTCTCATTCTAGAAAGCCTTGTAATCCAAGGGAACCTAAGAACAGTCCTAGTAAGGAATAACCAAATATCCAGCTGGCACAACATTCCCCCCTCCACCACTGGCTAGCCAAGGTGCCTGAGGAAACAGTTGCATACAGTGAGGCCTTACCAGGGTATTTTTCCAGCCTGCAGCCGTTTGTGACCCAGAAATTTGTTTGATATCTACCACTTGATATCGATCCATCCCTCTGTTTTTGCTCCTGTGATCTAAAACCAGGCTCCTGATGCATTATCAAGTGATTAGCCATACTACATAATGTTTGTTTTTTCTCTCCTACCAGCACCTAATAAGTGTGAGTTAAACTGTATTCCCAAGGGAGAAAACTTTTACTACAGGCATAAGGAAGCTGTGGTAGATGGGACTACCTGTGAACCTGGCAAGCAGGACGTCTGTGTAGAGGGAGTTTGTCAGGTTAGTCATCTTGTTGCTTCCTTCATATACCATTGGGTCTGTCAGTCTTTCTGTTGCTTCCCTTTGTTCTACTAGGCCTTTCATAGAAGCATCAGAATAGGAGAATCATCCAGTTTCCAAGGCGCTGAGGAGCATGTGAACAGCATTTATCTATCTGTCTCTGAATGTGAAATAGAAGATGCCAACTCTGTCCTTTCTCTGACAACAACTTCCCTGCCCTATCCTGACTTCCCAGCTCCCTAGATTCAGGCTTTCTCTTTAGATCAGTCCAGTATTTGGCCATTTTTAATTTCTTTCCTCTGTCATTACCGTTTATTCATATCAATGCTCCTGTGCTCTGCCAGGCTGTTGGGTGTGATAACATGCTGGAATCTGCCAAGAAGGAGGACAAGTGCCTGCAGTGTGGAGGAGATGGCAGCAGCTGCTATGGTGTGAAGGGCACTTTTGATGTGCCCAGCCTCCCCAAAGGTACAGACAATCTAGTTAGTTTAGGCAAGTGAGAAGGAGAGAGTTAAACCTAAAGTCAAGCTGCTACAAGGGCTGGTGGGGACACCTGCTCAAGTGATCACTGTATGCAGGCTTGGATGTTCACCTGAAATGTCTGTATGGCATGTGGCTTTTTAGCTGCTTTAGCATCAGAAAATGTATTGATGGCCTTATCCTGGGAATCACTTCCTTAGTCTCTATACCGACTGAAGTATTTGCCATGCTGCTGCTGTCTTTCCTTGCTTAGTCTCCAGTAGGTGCTGGAGGTGTACCGCACAAACATAGCTATATACCTCTTTGATAAGACTGTCCCCCTGTACAGTGTCTTGATAGCTCCACCAGGATTATTGCAAGGCTAGAAATGGGACTGCATCTTCTGCATTTGGCCAATTTTTGAAAAATTTCAAGATAACAACTACACTTATGTTCAAATCTCACTGCGTTGAGCTCCAATATGATGCCTGCTGAAATTCCAAAGATTTTAAAATCTAAAAGATAGACTTTGCACTGACCCCTGTGCTTACTTTTCTGAGGTGTAATTGGAACTGTTTACACATGGACTGACCTGTGAATAGTGTAGGGTGAAGCTATACAGAACGCAGATAAAGTGACAGCTGAAATGCTTCAAGCCACCATCATAAAGCTCATCCAGTTGTTCAGGCACCAATGAAACCATGAGCATCTTTGGCACAGAAGAGTGACTGTGTGGCATCCACAGACAGATATTGAATAATCCCCTTCTTTTTTTTTTCAGGTTACAATCAAATCTTCATCATCCCTGTGGGAGCCACAAGCATCCAAATTAAGGAGGTTATGCCTAGCAGGAACTTCCTGGGTAAGACTGATGTCAGAACCTGTGTTTCAGTCCATTTGAATTCCAGCCATTGCATTAAAATTTGGTTTTCGGGTATACTGGGCTTTGGGATGTTTACCTTGAGGGCTTGATATATAGCAGAGGAAAAAACTCCCTGAAAATCAGGATCTGAATATTGAGCATCCTTGAAGTATTAGTGATGCTCAACTCTGGGCTTCATGTTTACGTTATTTTCTCTCCTGTGGAGATCTTTCTGTTGGGTGGGGAATAAAAATACCCAAACCACACTCAGACTTCCTGCCTGGAACCTACAAGGACTCTAGCTGATATAGCAAAATTTGGCTGTGAGTTCTGCTGTTTGCTTGATGAATGTAAACCCTAACTATTCCTGCCATCCAAAAGTTTGGGTTGGGCTTCTTTTCCCCATAGATATCTTTTGGGTATTTCTCTGTAAAACCTCAAACTCTGGTCATGCTGCAGAGGGCAAAAGGGAGGGAGAAATGTCCTCACCTAGCTTTCTGGGCAGGGCTGAGGAAATTCCAGTGGAGAAAGCAAATACTCTTCTGCTTTCTGACTCTTCCATCGCCCAATGCTTTGGACAAATCAGTCTGGTGATATTTTTCTTTGTAGAAAACTGGATGCAGCACCAAGTCTTTGTTTTCTGAACAGAATGTCTGATGAACAGGGTAGTGGTGCAGAGGCAGTGGGGTGTGAATCCCACATCTTAATGGCAAGCAGGACAAAGGCTGACATAGGCTGTGCCTCAGTGACTAACAGAAGGGAATGGAGAGACAGGTCTGGAATATGCTGGAGGCATTTTGGCTGTGCAGAAAAGAAGTGTTTGGTCCGCAGTGAAGCTGGCAAGAACCACTGTCTGAATGGGGAGCAGCTTCTAGCAAGAGACCCTTATGGGGGGACAGCATTGTTGGAGGATGATGGTCACCTTTATTTGCCACACCTGCAACAGTGTTGAGTGGAAACAGGAGCAGCCCTGTGGAGTTCTTACAGTCCTCTTTCAATGTGTGAATTTTTGCTGTGTTGGTAGATGCTGCCATAAATAGATGGTCGCCACACTTAAAGGGTTGCAGATGTAAAGGAGCAGGGGTTCAAATGGCGGAGCTGAAAGCTCTGTGGATTGGCAATACCCTGAAAGTCTAGAGCAGGATCTGTTTTGTATCTGAAGCCAAGTGTCAGGTTATAGGTATGTTAATTTACTGCCTTTTCTTCTCTGGCGTGTGGGTTTGTCCAGCTGTCAAGAACGTGCAAGGGGAGTATTATCTGAATGGGCATTGGACAATCGACTTCAGCCGAGCGCTACAGGTGGCTAGCACGGTTATGCACTACGACCGTGGCTCGGAGGGTGATCTGGCCCCAGAGCTCCTCCATGCCCGGGGTCCCACCACAGAACCCCTCGTCATTGAGGTAAGCAGCGGTGTCTGCCCCCCGCTGATACTCTTGCTCTCTTGCGTTGCATAGCAGCCCTTGCTTTGTGCAGTGGGAGTGCATTGGTGGGGACCACATGGGAAAGACTAGACAAGTGATGGGGCCCCCAGGAGTCTTACAAGGCTGTAGGCCCCCAAGCTAGACCAAGGTGGTCTTCTCGCAGAAATAGCACTATTTTCTGCTCTGGTTCTGTTGCCCAGAAAGGAGCAGGGCAAGGCTCAATTTTGGCTTCCTGCCTATTCCCTTGCCCTCTGACTTTAAGGGAGGGGAGAGTCAGCCCCCAATGGTGTTGGGACAGGGACAGGCTCTAGGGCACTGCTTGTTATAGTGTTCTGTAGGCAAGGAAAGGGTACTTATTGTTACAGGAGCAGCTGGATCTTCTGACACCGAGAGGGATGAATGCACCCTTCTTTGAAAAATAATGATTTCTAGAGTATCATAGAATGCAAGAACAGAATACAGTGTAGAGAATAAGTGCTCCTTGAATGGGAGGGGCACAGGTCAGCTTGAACCCTCAGATGTCATGGGGAAATGCTGTAAAGGGGAAAAGTGCTGCTGCTGTTATTTCCCTGACTTTCTCCCGTGCTTTCACAGCTCATCAGCCAGGAGCCAAACCCAGGGGTACAGTATGAGTACTACCTGCCCGTGCGAGGACAGGCCTTGGGTTACAGCTGGAGCTACGGTTCCTGGAGTGAGTGCAGCTCCGAATGTGGAGGAGGTAAGGGAACAGAACCTGGTCTCTGGCAGCTGGTGTGGGGTTTATATCCACACCCTGAAGACAGTGTGACTGTGTGCTGCCCTCTGCAGCTGCTTCCCAGCAGTCTCTTGCTGGAAGACAGCACAGGTATCTGCGGGGGGCAGCTAAGGTTTTGGCCAGGGAGGGTCACACATGGAGTCACAACAGGACTGTGCCCCGTACCTTGTCCTGTCTTATTTTCCATGCCCTAGACCTCAGACTTGTTACTAGGATCTGTTAAGAATCTTCATAAATAGCCTTTGTTTTGTTTTGTTTCGGTTCTTTATGTCCTTTTCAGGCTTTTTCAACCACTTGAGAGGTCCTCTCCAAATTGACCTGGCCTACATAACTGAGTCACATCTTTCTCCTCTACCATAGCCTGGAAGATTCCCTCTCTCCAGGGGGACTGTCAGATCTCCTGGGGTGTCGCATCATGTTCAGTTTACAGATTCTTCCATGAGCAAAGTTATGGATTTTAAGCTAAAAAAATGTAGAACAAAAAACCCCAATCAAACAAAAAAAATCTCCAGCTGACTAGTATATAGAGCTCCTATCAGCCTCTTCTGGTCTTCTGTGCTGATGGCCATTTTGATAGCTTTTGCTGTACCGTGGTTGTAGGTACTGATATTGTCTTTGCCTGGGCAGTCTTATCCTGTAGGAAGCATGAAGAGTTGCAAGTTTTTTCTCCTGTATCCTGTCTTCACAAGACTGACCTGAGTCTAACAGGAGGCCCCCCCCAGCTCTGCTGCTGTATAATGCATACATTTTGCAGGGTTCCTTGATGAACAATATATAGATATGGCGCTTTCCTTGTGAGTCTCAATCTATAAAATAACAAGAAAATGCCCCTCAGCTACACAGAACTATTCTCTTGCCCTTCCAAATGGACTCCTGTACTGTGTGAAGACATCAGTCGTACATATAGTGACAGACCAAGAACTGCACCTGACCGTTTTCCAGATTGGCTGGGACGGGTGTGGATTCTGCACTACTCTAGAAACTTGTCTTGCCAACACCAGTGCGTTGCAAACCTAGTCCTGGGTGGCTTGTGTTGGTCAGGATACTCTCTTGCTTCTCTTTTAGGTTTCCAATCCCGTTCGGTATTTTGTACCATAGACAATGAAATTTATCCGGACTATATGTGCAGGAATAAACCACAACCAGACAATAACCGGACATGTGGCCATCAGACTTGTCCCCAGACAAAACGGTAAGATTTCCTTTCTTCTTCTGGACTCTGAATTCTTCCTGAGGTGATTTGGGACCAAGAAAAAGAATGACCCTTTCACTTCTCCTGCCCTCCAGCATGGTTCTCTCCAAGGAAGTGTTTCAATTCTTAGAGAAAGCCCAAGACAAAGGATGGTGATAACACTGTGATGAGCATTTCTGTGTGCACAAGGAAGGGGTTTAGTACAGCCTATGTTCATTTTCTAGACCAATTAAATTTGCTTTTCAGAGAATGATTGTGGAAGACAATCTTCTAGCCCATGTAGGAGATAAGAAACAGATTCTCTGGTTTTTGTTCTCTTCAACTGGAGCCTGCAAAAACAGAGTAGAAGATCAGAGTCATTTTATGCCTTTTCTGCATTCCCAGCGTCCTTGCACTTAGAAAGGGATGAATCCTGCAATCTTTTAATTCTCTTGCATTTTCAAACCCCTTTACCCAGCCATTTCTACCTTGTCCTTTGCTGGCATAGCCTTACAGTTGGCTTCACTTGGCTCTTACATGGAAATCAAGAGCTGTAAACAGAGTCTTAACTGTGTATCTCACTGTGTGTATGGTGGGTGCAGTGGAAGCCTGGGAGAGTGCTGTTATGGGTGAGAGGGCACTTGGAAACCTGGGAGCATTTCTGAATACATGATAGCCTGTAGCTACTTGTTTTAAGTTCTTTAAATCCTTTGTTCTGTGTATAAAGGACTTCTTACATCTATGTGCCAGAAGCCTGGAGTCACAGTGGAGCAAGGAGCTCTCGGATGAAGAGGTAACAAGGAGAAGGTTACAGAAAGCACAGGAAGGCAGCTGCTCTCTTCTGCTCTCCACCTAGTTGCCACTGAAGTCTGTGGGGGCTTTACTCTTTGGCACTGGTGGTAGCAGTGGGTGGTGCTTTGCTTTTGATTCTTGCCAATGACAATGATGGTGGAGGGTGCTGGTTGGCGGCTTTGCTTAGATGGTTGTGCATGCTCCCAGTAACTTGATTCTTATGGGACTGCGAAGGGGACAGTTTTTTCATAGCTTTTGGCTGTTTATCCTGATAACTGTTGTTTTGTCTCTGGAATCAGGGTAAAGATGTGAAGGGATGTGCTGGAAGATTTTTGTTTGATTTATCAAGATAAATAAAATAAAGGAAAAGAGAGCATGATGGATTGGGTGATTGAAGCATTGGCCAGGATGCCAGTGTGCCACAGCAAAAGCTTCAGTTCTTAAAAACTCTTCTTTCTTTGGCATGGGCCCTATGGCAGGCAGAAAAGTACCTATAAACTGTGATGAATACAAGGATGTGACAGATTCAATACTTATAATGTACACTGAGGTATGAGGAGTAAAAAAAGGTCAGAAGTAAAACAGTTGTCCCCCAGCAAGCTGCTAATAGCTTAGGACTTGCAATTCTTTGCCCTCTGATGTGGGTCCCAGCCTTATGGTTGACCTTGTCTTACAAAGAAAATGAAACAAGTGTCAGAGAGGTCTTGACTCGCAGCTGAAGGAAGCTGTAGTTGAGCCCATCCAGTTGATACAGCCTTTCTAAAACTGTACATTTGCTTTACAGGAGGCAGAATACATTGCGGGGGGGTATCCCCACTGGAGCTTCTGAAAAATTTTGATCAATGAATTTGTTTTGAGCCCTGCAAGCACATTGCTCTAAGTGGCTTCGACTTGCTGTAGTTGTTCCCTTTCCAAAGGGAACATCTTATTTTACAGCAAAGGCCATTTGGTTTGTGGCTGATGTTTGCATATTTAGCAATAAAGAAGAGTATCTTAAGGAGATGAACTTGGCCGAGTCTGCTGTGGAGTTTCCGGTAGGGTGTGAATGTGAATTGGCTGGCTGAAACTCAGTTTAGGGGTGGTGAGGGCAGACCAGGGAAGCAGCTGGAAGGCTAGGGGAGAAAACATGAACTGCCTTCACTCCCTGGATGGGGCTTACCTGACTGCAAGGGGAGGTAGCAGCTGACAAGCAGACCATGATGCTCCCCCTCCACCACCAGTGCCTTTTGACTGCACAGTATGCAGGCAGCAGGAGTGAAACATCCTGTTGTCCCCGAAGCCAGGCCATGTAAGCTGTGCTCCCAGCTACCTAGGCAGCTCTGAGACACAGGAGCGGACAAGGGCAGGGATTTTAGCATCCAAACAGTCAGATTGTTTTGTGGATATTCCCCCTTCTGTTAGCAAGGGTATGTCATTTCTGCAACAGCTTCAGCAACCAAACACAGGACAAAACCTATTTAAAGTTCTTGGGGCTTTTTTTCTGTGTGCTGCTGTTGGAGAATTTGGCTGATGGGAGAAATAAACAAGCTTTCTACTGGCTGTCAGCAAAAAGTTCACAAGCACTTCTGAGAGTGTCTGGCATGGTTTGCAGGCAGAGTGAGATCTTGGCTTGGTTTACTGTTTCTGATAATGGCTGGAGTATAATTGGTGGTTAGGCTGGTGTGGGTTGCTTTTCTTTTAGCTGATCTGGATTGTTTTCTTTGTTTTTTCTTTCTTTTTCATTGATGTTCCATTCCAGGCATGACATTTTTGAAGACATCAGGAGACCAAAAACCATGGAGAGAAATCTTCCCCCTCTGGGAGAGCTCTGCAATTCCAGAGGAACAAGTGTTTTGTAGTTGGGGATTTGTCTCTGGAGTGGGACTCATGCTCTGCATTGCCGATTAAGCTGGGCAGTGCTTGGTCAAATGGGAACTCAGCTTTGATTCTGTTCTGCAAAGGGATGTTTTCCTTGTCTGATTGCAACAGCGATGCAGCACTGACCTCCCCTGTGCCTCTGGGCAGGTTAGCTGGGCTTACGCTTGTTTGCTTGATTCTATGACCTGCAGGTGGAAAACGGGGGAGTGGGGATCCTGCTCAGCTACCTGTGGTGGGGGCACGCAGACTCGCTCCGTTTACTGTGTGGCATTCGACGGTCAGAGCTCCCAAGGGGTGGTGGATAACGCTGAGTGCATGGCCTTCACGCAGCAGCCTCGCAGCAGTCAGCCCTGCAACATGAGACAGTGTGCGACCTGGAGCACAGGGCCATGGTCAGAGGTGAGTTGGTGTGTGGGAGGTAACTGCCTCTTGGCACCTACTGAAGGAGGATCTGCCAAAGCTTAGGCATAAAGAGCCAGGCTCCTTTTCTGGGACTGTAAAAGGTGCATGTCCCTGGATAGGTGGTGTGCAGAGGTATAGCACTTGTCCCTGCAATCCTCCAAACAAGTTCTCCAGCTATCTAGCAGCTATGCCCTCCTATAAACACATCCGTGTTTCTCAAAAGTGTGCATGCCCCTGCACCTCTGCTTCTCTCATTGCATGTTCTCTATTCTCTGGTCTGCCAGTCCTTTCCCTATTCCTGTATTTTCATCAGACCCACCAGACCTGGCACTGGCTGAGTTTCTGAGTCAGGCCTGGTGAAGGCAGAGGGCAGGCATGAGAGCTGCTGTCCATCAGCTGATGATGTGCAGTAACACTCCATCCTCTGTTAAACAGGAGCTCATGGCTCCCGCCTGTGCTGTTTATTTCCATGCATATTGCTGCCTCAGCTTTACTAGCCCTGGACAGCAGTACTACAATCACAACAGCTGGTAAGCTCTTGAAACACTGGCGGCCTGCTGTTTGCTGTGTGTCAGTGCAGGGCTTCTCCGAACACAGCTGCGTGGTGCATTTTTGATGCCTGTGTGCGTTTGTATCTCCAGGAGAGGAAACTGTTCAAACTGTATGTGCTCAGTGCTGCCAGCCAGGCATTTAGACTGCATCTTACGTGCCAAGGGCTTAGAAAGTAAAGGTAGTATCTACTCAGTCCCTAAAGCATAAGTGAATTCTCCTCTTTTAAAGAAGCACACGCATGCTTGCAGCATTTGATTTACTGTCTTGTGGTGGTACTTTGAGTGGTGCAGCAGCATAAAATGCAACTTTGAGGCATGGTAACCTAGACTGTAAAGCCCCCCCCCCCCGATATGTGAGGTGTGAATACTGAGATGACTTCAGGGTTGCAGAGTAAGAGCACTGTTTGGAGAAGCCACCAAGTGTCATGTTCTTACAAACTGATTCCAAAATCATTAATATTGGGGTTCTCAAAAGCGACAGTGTTTGTAGTCTCAGAGACAAATGTCACCTTAGTAAATGAGTGGCTGAAACTCAGCTACGAGGCTCATCTGAGGTAATTCAGACTGTCTCCAAGTTAATGCTCTCTGTAAGAGACCTTGGTAATTCATGAAGTAGGCTGGATTCCAGGAAACACCACTGTGAATTTAAAAGGGTATTGAAAATGTCACAAACCAGTTCCTAGCATAGAAGCTTTGTCACAACTCCACACCATAAAAATGGAGCACAAGGTCTTCAGGCAGAAGACATAAGCAATACAAGAACCTAATCTTTATATCTTCCCTTGAATCCTTTACCTTGAGCTGATTTTAATCAGGAGCAAGTAACATGAAGTTCCAGGTATTTCCTGCCATTTATTGTTCTCAATGTATTCTGCAGTATTGATATTTTTCCAGAATCATTCTCCATGTTGTCTTTGGTAGAGATCAAGAGAAGTGATATGACTAGGCCAAAATCATCCAGTGGGCTCCAAATCCCACAGACCCTATCCACCATGCCTTATTGTCTCTTTTACAGCATAAACAACTACTCTGCTAACTCCCATCCCAGAAGATGATTTTAACAATGGTTGGGGCAATCTCAAAACGGTGCTCTGCCCTGATGTTAGGGAGTGCAGCATGAAAATGCAGGTGGAAACCAGGTGCTTCCTTGTAACTGTTGGGCTCCTTTCTGCAGTGCTCAGCCAGCTGTGGGGAAGGGGTCCAGACCCGGACTGTCACCTGCAGAACGCAGCAGGGCTCTCAGGCTCAGGACTTTGCTTGCCTAATGGAGCCAAAGCCATTAGCCACCCAGCCCTGCCTTAAGGAGAACTGCATCCAGGAAATTGGCTGGCACGTTGGAGACTGGGGCCTGGTGAGCATTGTACTTTCATGGTTCGGAAATAACTGATTATATTGCTGTGCTCCTCACAAACAAGCTTTGATCTGTGCAGTCTGCACGTTGGCTGTGGCTGGGAGCATATACTGCTTCATTACCAGTCCCTTGGCTCACAGTTGCCTTGTAACTGGCACTAGTAATGCTCCGGTTAATCTGCTGCCTGCTTTGTATGCAGCTGCTCCAAAAATAAATCCTTCTGAGGGGGGGATTATAGTTTCAGTGTCAGTGGCAAAATGCAGCCAATAAGCTGAAACAATCCACTCTTGCTGCTTATTCCCAATTCTTCACTCCATCGCTGTGAATAGCAGAACAGCTCTCTGGCTGAGTATGGCTTAGAGCTCCAGGCTTCAGGACTGGTCATTGCATTTGGTTGATATGGTTTAAAGTACATTTTTATAATTGTTCGGATAACTGTGCTTCAGCTGGATTAGTCTTGTCTTTGTGGAGGGAGCCAGACTCTGTTCAACCTGGGAAAAGCGCTGGGGGGAGGAGATAAGGGTATATCCAATGCATCAGGTGACTTCCAAACACACTTTTTCCCTTCTGTGCTAGCCAGACCAGCTTGTTCTGAGTTAAAACATGTTACATCTGGTTCTTCATGAGATGTGGGCCAAATTTAATAACAGCTAAAGAAGTTGCATACCTTAGTCTGATCTTTCCTGGCCCCTGGCTTTCCAGTATCAGAAGGGCTCCTACCTGCATGTGAGCAAGAGAGAAATACTCTGCCAATGTTTGTAGAGCTTGCCACAAGCATATGTGTTACACAGGTATCTCATCCTCACCCCTCCCCTGAGCTGCTGCTCATTTCTACCTCCTCATCCACAGCTTCCAGTGAGAGGAACTCCAGTTGGTTGCTTACAAGAAAGCCACCAGTTTGCTTTCTTGTTGTAAACCGTTTTTCTTGAACACATAGTTCAAAACTGACCCTTTCACAGCTGGTGGATCCCCGTAGCATTGAGATGCCTTCAGGCCAGGCTGAAACAATTCACTCCAGCTCCCTGCCACACCACTGTGGGTAACAGCAACTCATCTGGATGTTACAGGCTAAGCATGGCTCAGAGCCTAATGCTTCAGGGCTGGGTGCAGCATTTGGTAAAATGGTTTAAAGTATGGTTTTCTAATTGTTCAGATGAATCCAGCTGAAATATTATTTGCTTTGTCTTGGTGGAGGAAGCTGTGCTCAGCCTGCAGCTAATTGTGCAGCTGTTCCACACTTCTGGTCTGTGGGGTTTCTGCATTTGGCCTCTGCTGCCTGCTCACTTGCCTTGTCTCTGTGCCCAAGTGTTCGAAGAGCTGCAATTCAGGCATCCGGACACGCCAAGTCATCTGCGCTGACGGCGACTCCAAATTCTACAGTCCTGAGACATGCAAAGCCATCCAGCCACAGAAACCAGCCACCGTTGGTAGCTGCAACGTGCAGCCCTGCTACCTGCCACAGCGTGAGTGGTATTGCTGCACACCTAGCTTTTCCTAAGATGCTTTTGTTTAGGAGTAGAAATTCCCAGCTCTGCACCAGCTTATATTCTCAGCTTCTTGCCTGCCTGTTTCCATCCTGTGTATTTGTTTTGTGCACATAACCATGGCATCTTCAGAGTCGCAGTATCTGTGCTGTTTGAAATGTATGTAACAGGCTTGGGACCGATATTGGGGTTTGTTCATTTTGAATTCAGTATTCTGTGATGGCTCTGTCCCAATGTGTGCTGCAGACTGACCCCAGGACTCCCAGTCAAGAAGCATGGCAACCTGGGCAGGCTCAGTAGCTAAAAACTATAAACAACTCTCATCCCTCTGTGGACCAGCTACAAAGGAGGCACAACTGCTCAGAAGATTTTTGCTTGCTGTCTCTGTCTAGTCTTCATGCCAGAGCTGAAATGCTGACTTCTGTCTGCCTGTCCATTGCAGGTTGCAGTCCTGACAATCCAACTGAATCCAATTGCTGCTCAGCAGCTGTTCCAGAAGAGAAACGTTTTCATCAACTTTAGTCTCCTGTTGATTCCTGGACGCATTTGCAATTATTAGAACATAGGGCTGGTCTAAATGCACTCGTTTTGTGTATGTTTCTCTTTGCAGAGGTCCCCAGTATGCAGGACACTATGGGATACGACGTCACTCGCCAGTCCTTGCTGATGCGTTACAACCCAAACAGCCCTGCCACAGGTTTGGAAGAATTTTGTGGGTTTGGGTTTTTGATGATGGTGGACTTGAAATAGAGTGTGGTAGGGGAAAGGTTCCTCCTTTTCTTCATTTCTCTCTTTTCATGGGCTTCTAGAAATTCATGCAGCCAGGGACAAAGTGTAGATTCTTTTACACCAATAGTGAGCAGTATTTGAATCTGTCTGTGCAGAAGACTGTACAGTATATAGATCCCAGGTTTTGGCAGCATGACTTAAGTGCTGGCTGACAGAAATGCTGCCCAAGGCAGATCATAGGAAGAAGAAAGGATGATGTGAGGGGACCACAGTAATGTGGCAGGTGGTTTCTTGTGGGACAGCAGAAAGAATGGCCAGGGTAGTGAGGACCAGGGCACCTCAGGGCAACCAAATCCAGAAGGGTGGGCCAGGAGACACACATCCAGGTAAAACCCTTATGCAGAAAAGCCTGCCCTGTAGCCTTGGGCAGGTGAAAGAGAGCAGAGATGAGGAAAACTGACAAGATTTTGATGCTTACCTGCATGCTTTAAGGAGTTTTCTCCCCCAGATTCTGGTGATGAAAGGATGCTCTCTGGGAGCTCCATGATCCATAGTACGTCTGGGAATCACCACATCCCATCCACCAAGGACCGTGGCATCAACTTGTTGCCTGTTCGCTGGGAATCCCAGTCACGCTCATCGAGTTCCCATCAGCTCAGCTCCTCTCAGGACCCCACTGCAGGGACTGGCTCTCAGGACTGTCATCGGAGCCCCTATGGCTGCTGTCCGGATGGGCACACTCTGGCTTCAGGCCCCTTGGGGAGAGGTTGCCTCTTCAGCACCTGCCACCAAAACAGGTAGCTGGAAGTAGATAGGCCTGAGCAGGGAGGCATTGCCTTTCCTGGGGGCTTACTGAAATTTACTGCCTGTGCCTGTTGAGCCGGGCATGTCAGGTGTTGCTGCAGCCCTTCTATCTTCTGCCTGTAGGTATGGATGCTGTCCTGATGGAGTATCGGTTGCCCAGGGGCCAAACAACATGGGATGCCCACAATATTACCGTGATGTTCAAGTGAGCAGAAATCAGCCCACTGCGGCCGCTCCAACAGTAAGTACAAAACCTCTGCATTTTAGGAGTCCATCAGATACAAAGATTCCAATTTGACCCCGGTGACTTGCATTGTGGGTTTCTGTTGTGCTCCATCTCTGCCAGTAATGCTGGAGAACCAATACTCCAGGCATGGCATCGAGCCCTTTGGCCCACGTTGCTCCTCTTCAGTCTGGGGCATCCACCTGTGATCCTCTGTAAGCAGGGGACAGAGTGGATGGTTGGGAGATGTCTGAGAAGTAGAAGAACAATCAGTGTAGAACTGATTGAATAATCCTGAGTAATCAAATTTCTGTCAGTCAGAAACTTGCCATTCAATTTCTGGGAGAAAAAAATGGGAAAAACGTGGACACTGTTAATTGCCTTTGTTTGTCAACTGCAGATTAATTGAAGGCAAAATAGTCAGGGAGGCAATCCCTCTTGTAGCTTGGGGTGCTTGGTGGGGCCAGCTGAAAACCTGGCCTGCTGCTGGGCTGGTTAGGTCTGTCTTGCAGAGAAGCGCAGCCCTAGCTTCATGGCTGATGGCCAAGTTTCCTACCCCTTCCCAGCCTCAAAGCCTCTAGGAGGCACACAAATAGTGGTTCCTCTAACAGCTGGCCTTCTGCAGCCGACAGCTTGGACACGGTGCTTTGCATGTGCTACTGTCCTAATGTCTGCATGATAACTTTTTGGCTTTCAATTCCTGTCTCTAAGGCAAGCCAAGCCTTGTCCCAGCAGCACCCCTCGGGCGAGTGCCGCAGTTCCGTATACGGCTGTTGTTTTGACAATGTCGCTTCAGCTTCAGGTCCTCAAGGGGAAGGATGTCTCAATAGGCCCAACTACCGTAAGTGATGCTTTGGCTTCTTGGTTTAGAAACGTAGGAAGAGTCCTACAGAATCCAGTAGCGTATGGAAGCTTCCTGTGTAGAGGCTCTGCTCTCTGTAGAATGTAGTAAATTATCTCTTTGCAAAGAAATTCTGCCTGGTGTCTAGGGCACGGGAAGCTGGGAGGGAGCGTAGAAAAGCAGCCAGATGGTTCAGTTCTGTCAGCTACTACAGAAATTCTTGTTGTCCTCTGCTGATAGTTGGACAGAAGTGTGTTTGTGTGATCTCTGTCAGTCTGTAGAACTTCTGGGGAGCTCTTTGCCCCTGAGAAGACACCCTGATGCAGCCTGGAGTGCTCCAAATTAGTTACCTGGATTTAGGAGAAGTAGGGCCTCTCTGAGGAATCAGGGCTGTGCTCAGCCTTCAGACAGCCCATGGACAGGGGTGGAATGAGAGCTACAGCTAAGGATGGAGGTGTTGCTCAGGGCTGCATGAATGCTTTCAGCCAGCAGAGTTCAATACAGTGCCCGCTGTACTACGAGGGCACTAGAGCTCCTGGGCAAAAGCATCTCTGCTCCTTTAGTTCCCAGCTGTATCCTCTGCAGGCACGTTGCTGCTGCATTGTCTTGTCTTTTTGCCAAAGCACAGATATTGCTTGGTGGCCAGCCCTGTGGGGCTGCCTTAGGGAAAGGGAAAGCTCTCTGGATCCTCTCTGCTCAACCACAGCTTGGCAAAGGACCCCTCAGTCAGAGCCCTGCCCCCAGTGTTTGTCAGCATGTGACTGTGATGATACCTGTGACTCAGGGCACAGGACTCCATTTGTAGATACATTGGGCTGTGCTCCTCTTTATATCAATGTGTGGAGGGGTATTCTGTAATGCATGAGGATTCACAACTGCGTCTAACCTACTTGTTTTGTGGGCTGGAAATGTGCAAATGGCACCCACATCCCCCCTGCAGGAGAGGAAGCCCCAGAGCCAACCTTGCATCTGCACAGTTCCCTGAGGTTGTAAAGCATCCATGTAGCATCTAGATTCAGAAATGTCTCTGAGGTTGGTTCTCCTTCCACCAGTGGAAAAATGGGGGCAGAAAGAAACATGTGAGCAGCTGCCCAATTTCAAAGCAGAGCTGGGTGCAAAACCCAAGTGTCCTATTTTCCCACCTGCCTTCTGCCCACAAGGCCCATCAGATCATTTAAATAGGTGGCTTGAAGCACCTGGACCTTTGTGCTTCATGACCCTCACGTCTCCCTCTGTTCCACTCTTTTTGGTAGCATATCCTGTCATATGCCTGCTGCCCAGTGCCCACGGCCCCTGCATGAACTGGACCACTCGCTGGTACTTTGTGACTGTCGTTGGCAAGTGCAACCGGT